ATCTAACAGATTCTCTCTTTACCATTAAAAAAAATATATTTTATCTACTCTTAACAAGTAACATTTAAAAATTATAAACTTTAATCGAATTCTTAATTTTGGCTGTTGAAATTTTTGTTTCTTTAGCTGAGCAGCTTAAGATCGCAACGCTTAGAACGCTCTTGCCTTTTATGACTCGGCTAATGTCGCTCGTTGGCGGATTCCGCCCCGCGCATCGGTTGGGCGGGAGGAGGGTAATCGTTGGGTATTATTTTGAGCTAAGGTTATATGATTAAAACCGGGAATTCTATCCAACTTTCAATACAATTTTAAATAATTACCGATCGTGATACATGACGAGCAAGGGACAATATTTGTCCAAATTCACCACATAATAATACAGTTTTTCTAGCAAAAAAAAAAATTATTTTTTTCTGAATCGCATAAGTCTTTCAACATCATCATCTTTCAATTTCATCACTTATCTACTACACATCGAAATTTCATCAGTAATGAATAATGCCACCGAATTAAGAAATGTGGCATAAGTACTATTTTATATATTCGGCATTGTATTTTCTATCAGATTTGTGGTCAAAAAGGGAAATCAACAATATTGAGATCAGCAATTTCTGGTATTATTATAGGTGTAGGCAAACCGACATGTARATATATATTAAATGAGGTTTGCACCGCGACCTAAGGTCTATTGTGACCTCATGTGACATTATTTTTTTAAAAAACATCCCCTCGGTTTCCAATAATGCTATATTGATAGAAATATCTACTCTTCAACCATCGCTAACGAAATTTTCTCTAAATTAAACCCAAACTGCTAATGCGTTTACTGGAATATTCATGGCACAAATAATTAAGCATAACCTGCATCGATAAATGTGCTATAAACAAGTTGTATGTGCGACCTTCTACATATGATTTGGGTGCATTTACATGCAACACAAGCAATCTTAAATGGAACACCCCATATATCCGAGTAATAATTGTATCTCCGCCTCGTTGCCTTTTTCGCCAAGATTTTCTACCACTATTCCAAACATAATGCAAAGCAATTTCTTTATGCGTATATTTATTTGCAGATGGACCACTTTGATTCAATAAAGAGGAAGCTAATAGCCTGATAAGCTGAGGATTTTCTACTGCTTCACGTTCCTGGCCTTCGCAAAATAAAATATTTTATCTCTGTGGCAAATGAATATCAAAACGGATTATTGTGTGAGACATCTTTACAACGGATATCCATTAACCGATTCTTTCGTTGATTGCAGAAATTTTTTTAGTCATTTTCAATATTACATACATACAGAGCTTTGATATAAAACACTGCATGAACCGTGGATCATGTGTTTGACAATACATTCATGAAATTTCGTTGTAAATTTATTCCAAATGTCAGTTGATTAATTAGAGTCAATACAAATTTTAACATGGTAACTTTATTTCGAATCTGTCTACCATTAGTATTTTGTTGCACGTTATGGGATATATTACTCGATTCAAAGCAGAACTAATACCACTATTTGTTTCTGAAAACAAAAAAAAAATCATATTTACTGAAGTCATCAGCATTTTGTGAAAAGGGCATTAGCTTTGTATAATAATCGAACCTTATACTATGTTCAGACCGACACTTAATCACACGATTTCGGCTGTTGAACGGATTATCCCACTAATCTCAAAAATTTATCAAGATTTCGCCATACAAAAATGACAGCTCAAAATCACTTCATCAGAATGATTTGAAACTGATCCACGCTAAATCTGTCTGTGCCACTCTGATTTTGCGTCATCTGTTAGTCAAATTTGTTTAATCGCAGCTGATTTTGACACTATAAACTGTCAGAATTTAAAACTAACAGACAAAGTATATAAAAAAGATAAAACCAAAAATCGACGTTGYTTACAAAAAAGGAAATAAAATATGGAAAAAACTCAAAAAMAGAAAAGAGTGATGTGGAGTGAGACTGCCGAGGCCGACATAATAGAGGTATGGCAACTAAAAATGCGAGAGCTGCGATCAACGCGAAAAAATAATCATATATATGAGGAAATGTCTGCTACAATGCTTTTGGCTGGACACGAATATACGTCCACAGAAATAAAAATCAAATTGCACAATTTTACAAAAAAATACAGGTAAGTAATAAATTATGAGGTAAACATATAACATTAAATATTTTTTTATTTTTAGACAAGAAAAACAGAAAATTGGCCCATCGGGTGGCTGCCCTAGTCGGTGGAAATATTATGAGGCGGTCCACCAAGCGCTAGGCGGTTTTAAAAGTTTTTGTTCCGCCGAACTTGTGGAGGATAGTATTGATGGTAAGTTTTAAGCGCATTGGAGTAGGTTCCAATATTCAAAATAAAATAAAATACGTTTGTGGAATGTTTCTTTACACTTTTATTTGTTTCTTCTATTTTCAGTTAACATGGATCCAATTTACATTGAGGACGATGTAGATGGAGAGTCGCCGCTCCCAAGCCCAAACGATGGACCTTCTACGTCGCATGGTTGCGCTCGGCCATCGTCAATCGATTCTGCCAAAAAGAAAAAATCAAAAACAATAACGGATAAAATTAAGAACGACTTATTAAAGGCGACTGAGGCGATGAAGGAAGCCGATGAAAAGTGCCTTTCTCTCCTACAAGAATACATTAACGATTCAAAAGAAGTGAAGGACGCTTTCATCGACTTCCTTCGTCGCCAAAATTAGATTTAAACATTTTTTTTTAGTTTTAGTTTAAGATACTTGTATAAGACAAATGTTGAATGGAAAATGAATTTAAATACATATGTTAAACAAAATGAAAATATATATGTAA